TGAACTGGTTATTTAACTTTTGAACCAGTTATTTAACTGACAGTTCAAAAGTTAAATAACTGTCATTGCCAACACTGAGCCCAATTCATCATTAAATGAGTTTATAGGATGTTTTTAAGAATAATATATAACAAACGTACCTTATAATACTTCTTCAACAAAGCCCCTGCCTTCTCCTTCCTTTCCATCGCTTCCTCTCCCTCTATCTTCTTCAGCTCTCTAATATAATGGGCCAGGATGTCCTCTTCTTTATAGTTGAGTATGGATAGAAATTTTTTGAAGCTGTCATAGTGGTCCTATGACAGCTTCAAAAAATTTTTTAAATGACTATTGTCACGTTTCATTTTCAAAAAATTTTTTGAAAGAAATTTTTCACTTATTTGTGATACCTAATGATTATATACAAGACAGCAGGGTTGAAAACATGTCCCATTGAGACCAATTACTAAATATGGTTAAATGTTACATCAATGGATGGCCAACTCACAGGACAGACAAGTTGTTTGTGTATATATATATTAATATATGGGGGGTTTTCTAGCAAAAGGTAGCTTAAGTCATATTAAATTATTTTGAGAAAATGACTCCTGAAAATTTGTTACACGAAAATTGATTGTTTTGAACCCCAAAAATTTATCATAACAAATTTTGGTGAAACGGCCGAATTTTTGGTAGGGCAAAAATTTAAAATAAATTTTGGTGGAATGGCTGAATTTTCATTAATTAATTCTTTATAAATAATGCAAAAAGTTCTTATAAAAAAAATTTTTATAAAAAACCAAATATCTAGTATAAAACATCTGAAATAAAACCTAAACCTTATTTATTAAAAACTTTACCATTTATAATTATAACATGTTTTCAAATTTAAATCAATCATCTGTAGATTTAATTCACAAGTAATTTAAATCTAGAAAATGGCATGGAATTATCACCTGAAAATTCAATTTACCAGATGAATTATATGATTTAGGATTAGAAGCATATGAACCAAATGAATTAGTATCTGAAGCAGTCAGGATTT